AGTTCAAAGCTACCAGCTGTTCCACAGGAGAAAGATGAGGCTTTCTGCTCCTGTAAAGATCTGCAACCTCAGAAACCCTATATAAAGTCGCTATTAGTTGGAACCAACTCCACAACACACCACTACCACTACTACCATATATACATATGGGTGTGTGTGTGTGGTGTAGCACTGTGGGATCAGCACTGGACTGCGAACCACAAGGTCAGCAGTTCAAACCCACCAGTTGCTTCTCAGAAACCCTATACAAGGTCACTATGAGAACTGACTCAACAGCACTCAACAACAACTATATATATACATATATATGTTTGATAGAGGATATTTCTACATACGTATCTCACAGCCCTACAATATACCCATGAATATGGTCAAACTGATATAGGGGAACAAAACTTCTTGGTGGTGGTAGTGGTGTGCCGTGGAGTTGGTTCTGATTCATAGTGACCCTGTACAGGGTTTCTGAGGTTATAAATCTTTATGGGAGTAGAACACCTCATCTTTCTCCTGCAGAACAGCTGGTAGTTTTGAACTGCTTACCTTGAGGTTAGCAGCCCAATTCGTAACCACTACACTACCGGAGCTCCTTGAAAACTTCTTAGCCATAACCAAACACCTTGAGGGAAGAAGTCACTGGGTCTGGAGGCTCAGGACCATAGTCTTGGGGAATTTCAACATCAATTGAAATAACATAGTTCACAAAGAAAAAGTTCTATATCCTGAGTAGCAAATGGGGTTTTGCAAGCTTGTGAGCAGCCATCTAAGATACAACTATTGGCCTCTTCCTGTCCAAAGAAAATAGTGAAAAAATCAATGACACATGGAAACAATCCAAAGAACTAATGGGCCATGTGAACTCCAGCTTCCATGACCCTGAAACTAAAAGAATTAGATGGTGCCTGGTTACCATTGTTGATCACTCTGGAAGGATCACCTTAAGAGGTCCTCAATAGAGTGGAAGAAAAAGATGGGACAAAATTCAAAATCATAAAATGAAGGTCAGGTTTACTGCTCTGATAGAGATGGTCGAACCCTCAAGTCTATGGTCCTTGGTCACTCTTCAAGTCTGAAACTGAACTCACCCCATGGCTCTACTTTCTGCCAAACAACAGACAGACCTATAAAGTGAACAATCACACCAAGGAGGTCCACACTTCTTAGAGCAATCAACCATAAGAGACCCAAAAGGCAGCATTTGTCCAGATAAACCTAAGTGAAGTCTTGGTGTGGAGCTTGGTTAATGCACTGGACTGCAAGGTCGGTGTGAACCACAAGGACAAAGACTGTGGTTCAAGCTCACCAACCACTCCCTTGGAAACCCTATACAGGATTACTATGAGTTGGAACTAACTCGACAGCACTTAACAACAACAAAGTTCAGAAGACAAGAAGCAATAGGAAAGGAGTGGAAATGGTAAACCTAGAGAGGAAGTGGGAAGAATGCTGCTGTATCGTGGGAAATGTAATCAATATCATGGAACAAAGTGTATATAAATTGTTGAGTGGAAAATCATATTGCTCTGTAAACTGTTACTCAAGTATCAATAATTTTTTTAAAGGCTATGCATTGATCATTTGATTGAAATGTGACCAAAGACTTAGAGAAACCAAGCCCAATACTTCCCCTAAAAGCAATGATTTCGTGTTTGCTAATCCAATGTAACTAGCATCTTTATACAACATAACTACTGCAAATACCAAGAGTTAATTGAAAATAATAGTTCTTCACAAGAGTTTACTTCCTTAGTGGGTAAGGTCTCCCAGGAAATCAAATTACAGATCACAAGGTGATCTGAATCTTGGTGATTTCAGAAATTTTGATTATTTTTTTCAACTTTTTCTTTCATTTTTTACACACCACACCCTCCCACTCACCCCTTCTGTCTTCCCTTTTTTAATCAGTAAAAATCTCCCTCTGTTTTGATGATTAGAAGACTAGGAGAAGTGAGATGGGATCACTGGCCTAGCTGGAAATGTCACAAGCCTCCATCCATACTACACCACTGACAAGAACAATGTAAGTAAATAAACCTCAGCTTCCATCATAAACACTGGATCCAGGCAATTGCCCCAATTCAACTATTCACTCTGAGGCTACATAAACTCACCTTGATGGCTCCCACCACTGCTGTTGTCAAAGCTGAGTTGTAATAGCTGCACAAAACGGTGGAGTACATCAGCAGAAACCTGAGGCAATACAACAAACTGTAAGTGTGTAATTCCTATGCTTGGTAAAAAGAGCAGATTAGTAAGGGCTCACAAGTCAACTGAACATATGCACTGAACAGATAAAATGTGGTTATACACACAATGCTGTATGATTCTGCCATAAAGAGAAACAATTCCCAATGTACACTACAACCTTGAATACATTATGCTGAGTAAATGAGTGAAGCAAATCAGATTCTAAATGCCAAATATAGTACAGTCCTACTATATGAAATATCTAGAACAGGCAAGATAGAGACTGAAGTTTATTTGTGGTTGCCACCAGAGATAAGGAGGAAGCAGGGACAATACTTAGGGGACACTGAACTTCCATTATGGGGAGTAGAAAATTTGATAATGTGTAAGGATGATGTTGAACAATATGCACATAATTAATGTTACTTAATTGTACATATGAAGATTGTTGAAATGGCAAACATCATTAATATTTTGTTACACATATATTTAGCAAAATAAAAAAAGTGAATTTAAAAAGAACATATCAGAAAGGTTTTCTGACTCACATCTTTAACCACCTTAATTCTGACTTATTCCAGGATAATGGTTCAGTTGTACATTAGCCAAAACACTTCACCTTAGGTTTTGTGTCTATCTAATTCTCAATAGAAGTCCTGGTGAGGCGCCCTAGGATAAGCACTGGACCACACACAAAGTCGGGTGGAAAACTCACCAGCCATCCCTCAGAAACTCTACACAGGGTCCCTATGAGTCGGACATGACTCAACAGCACTTAACAACAACAACAAATTCTCAATAGGGTTTCCATGAAAAGGGGATAAGAAGTTTTGTGTGTTTTTTTAACTATCTGAAATCCTTTAAACAGTCTGTTACAGCCATGGTTTTTAATCCTCTTTGTTCATCAGAATCACCTGCTGTACAATGATGGATGTTGGCACAACTTGAAGAATGTAATTAATGTCACTGAATTGAGCACAAGAAATTGGTTGAAATGGAAAATATTTTGTTATTTCACCAGATCCCTCCTGATAAAATCACCAAAGTGAGGTGAATTCTTCCCATGGTTTCTAAGGAGCATTCTGGCTGTACTTCTTCCAAGACAATTTGTTCATTCTTCTAGCATATATATTAAATATTCTTTACCAACACTATAATTCAAAGGCATCAGTTCTTTTTTGGACTTCCTTATTCACTATGCAGCTTTCACATGCTTTGCTGTTATTGTTAAGTGCTTTCGAGTTGGTTCCAACTCATAGAGATCCTGGATAGGGTTTCATAGGTTTTAAATCTTCGAGGGAGCAGAACTGTCTTAATTCAGTTAGGGCCATTCCCACTGTCCTCTTCTAAATCCAACTTGAATTTCTGACACTTCTCTGCCCATGGACTGTTGCAACCATTTTTAAATTACCTTTAGCATAACTTTACTTATGTTGATATTAATCATATTGTTCAATGATTTCCACATTCTGTTGAATCACCTTACTTTGGACCTCTTCCAGTAAATTGTCCAGGTCTTCCAGATTTCTTGGCATATATGGGTGAGTGCTTCCAGCATTACATTGTTTGTTGATATAAATCAGTTGGTATTCTGTCACTATTGGAGCCCTGTTTTTTTTGCAAAAGCCTATAGTGCAGCATGGACTTCTATTAATATTGTTAGTTCTTGATCATATGCAGCCTCCTTAAATGGTTGAATGTTGACTAATCCTTTTGGGTACTATGACTCTGTGTATTCTTCCAGCTTTTTTTGATGATACTTACATAGTTCAATATCTTGCCTATAAAATCCTTCAATATTGCAACTTGAGGCTTAATTTTTTTTCCCTTCAGTTCTCTTAGTTTGAGAAAAGCCAAGCATGTTCTTCCTGTTTGGTTTTCTAACTCCAATTATTTGCACATTTCATTATAATATTTTACTCTATCTTTTCAAGCTACCCTTGAGACATTCTCTTCAACTCTTTAAAAAACATTTCTTTCATTCATTTTAGCTACTCTATGTTCAAAGGCAAATTCCAGAGTCTCTTCTGGTGTTCTTTTTATTTATTTATTTATTTCATGGCTTTTTAATGACATTTTGTTTTCTTCATGTATGACATCCTTAATGTCATCCCCAACTCATCTGTTCTTTGCTCACTGGAGTTCCATGCATCAAATCTGTTCTTGAGATATCTCTAAATTCATGAAGATGTACTCAAGATGATACTTTAACTTGTTTTTATTTTCTTCAGCTTCAACTTGAACTTGCTCCAGGAAACTGACAGTCTGACAAATCATACTGAGCTTCTCTATCATCTCTTTCCACAGATGTAGCCTATTTGACCCCTGTATAATCCATCTGGTGAAGTCTACGTTTACAGTAGCCATCTATGTTGTTGTAGAATATTGTCTGATATAGTGTTGGAAAATGAGCCCCTCAGGTTGGAAGGTACTCAAAATATGCCTCCTCAAAGTAGAGTCAACCTTGATGACATGGATGGAGTCAAGCTTTCAGGGTCTTCATTTGCCAATATGGCGCTATTCAAAGAAACAGCTGCAAATATCCATTAATAACTGGATCATGGAATGTACCAAGTACGAACCAAGGAAAATAGGAAATTGTAAAAACTGAAACACTTAAAGATAGCTATCCTAGGCATCAGTGAGCTGAAATGAAATTGGCCATTTTGAATCAGAAGACTAGTTTCCATAGGTGAGTATATTTATTATGAGGGATGGTAGAGAAAAAAAGGAAAATCAGGGATAAAGTACATTAAGTTGAGAAATAAAACTAATTACAAACTTCAATTCTTCCAAAGAAATGCATATATTTGTTATGAAAGTAGTTTTAAACAGTTTGGCCAATTACAGAATCTTTGCAGTTTTAATTTGAAATGTGTCATTTATGGCAGACTTGCCATTTCAATTTGAAAGGAGTAAGCACATTTGGATAATTCTGTACACAGGATTTGACTGTTTAAAAGGACCTGATTTATCAATACCCAAGTTTGATTTATTAGAATTAAAAGGTTGCTTAATTTTTAAAGCAATCATCTGATTACCCTTGTTAGTTTACCTCATTAGGGACTTGAATTACTGGAAGAAAATTTGGTAGACTATATTCATGAAAGGATCTCTGGTAGCATAGTGGTTACAAATTGAGCTGCGAACCACAAGGTCAGTAGTTCGAAACTACCAGCTGTTCCATGGGAGAAAGATGAGGCTTTCTGCTCCCGTAAAGATTTACAGCCTCGGAAACCATGTACAGGGTCACTATGGGTCAGAATAGACTCGATGGCATTTAACAACAACAACATATTCATAAATACAGTTAAAAGTATGTAAAACAAAAAAAATACCAAGCCAATTCCAATAAAAAGCGAGAACAGGAGTGGCAGTACTAATTTCGGATAAAATAAACTTTAAGGCAAAAACCAGCATAATAGATAAAGATGGACTTTATACCATGATTAAAGGAGCAATTGAACAAGATAAAATAACCATATTAAATATCTATGTTCCCAATGAAAGAGTGCCAAAATATATAAAACAAACTCTTATAGACTTGAAGAAAGAAATAGATGAATCTACAATAATAGTGGGTGATTTTAATACACC